TTGTTGATATTACAAAATGACTCCCCTCTCCATCTATTTCAACCACCTATGTGATAAACTTCTGCAAAATATAAAAATAAAGGAAAGAACTCTTTACTTTATGTCTAAATATTCCTTTAAAAAGTAATGGAACTAGTATCTGTAGACCTTAATAAAAAAAAACTATGAGTATTTAAATCATAGCAGGCTGTAATTACTATGGTAACTGTTTTCTCTTACCGATAACCAAGTTATAACTTGGTATAAGGTATAACTTGGTGGGTAAGCTAGTTTGCTGAGAAAAGTGGGCTCCTGTCAGCAGGAGGGATTTTAATTTGCATTTAGATTAACTGTAATCTAAGAGATTTTTTCAGTTTGCARGCTGTCGCTTTCTCTTTCTGTGCTTTGAAAGGGTTAGGCATGTCCTAGCTGAGCCTAGAAGGAGGGTTAGACTCTTTGAGCACCAAGGGATGAACAGAGCTGTTAGAACGGAGTCTAAATGCTGTTTAGCATTGCCAGTAGTTAGGCTTTGCAAAATTGCATGGGACTTTGCATATTGAAACCTTACATCTTACTTTGATTTAGGATATCCCTGAAGAAAGGGAGTTTCCATCTCACATGAGATCCATAGGTTTTTTTTTGGTTTTTTTTTTGTATTCCCTATTCTCTGCAGAAGCAGGACTACCAGAATAAAGAGAGAAGTTACAGAGATAGATGTCTAATGAGAGAACAATCTACCTACAGAGGGAAAAAAAAAATTATACACCTTTTTTCCTCTTTTCTCCTCTGCTGTACCTGTAAGTGCTCCTGGGATTCACACAGATGTTTCTAGCCTGGTTCTGAGTCATGTATACCTCCTGATAAGGGTGTACCCAGGAGCAATGTGCTCCCTCCATTAATAAACTATTTTCATTTGTGGAGGGGGAAGAGTGACTTTGTATACAGAGGTACTAAAAATCCTAGTGCAAAACCTTCAGTTTCTGAAGAGGTGGAGTGGGAATTAAGGGAAGAATGGTGCTAGAGCTAGTCACCTTCAAGAGGAAGGTATTATCCAAAGCGTGAGCACCACTTTCTCTTCTAGGTAAATAGGTTTATATTTGCTATGTTGAGGTTTTTTCCCCTAAGTCRCTGCTTTCCTTTTGCTTTATGTATTAGAACTGCTGCCTACATGTGTAGGTGATCCTAAACTAAGCTTTAGCAAGTTGACAGTACAGCTGTGGAACCCACCTCYCAGATGAAGGTCATTATATTAAGCTGTGCTGTGCTTACTTGCTAACCCACTCCAGTTGACTAGCATCCCTTATAGAGACATCTATCCATATGAGAGTATTTAATTTTGGTATATTTTGACAATGGTTACATTTAATATTTTTCACTTTGGGAAAAACATGTTCAATGGGTAGGTAGGGCTGCACTAGTTAACTAAATAGGGGCAGGGCCTGGGCTTGAGCAATACCACATATTTGTCCRTGCTAGTATTTGTTAACATAATCCTTGACATAATTTTGTTCTTGCCAAATACTATTTTCAGAAAAAAAAAATTTGGCAGAGATCCCTCTAATCCAGGCCTATTTCCAAAATGAGTGTGGAACAAGAATTTTTTTTTTGGAAAACAAGTTTAGACATATGGATGCTGCGCCATTTGCCCCCAGGCCAGAGGCTGGGCTTCAGCATATCTATCTGACTAGGATAGGTGTAGCTATCTACATCTTGAAATTCAAAATTAGGACACCATTTCCTAGAATGTCTTTATTGAAGACATTGAACGCAACATTAATAATARTAATAGTGTATGACTGCATCTGACTCTATGAAGACAATATCTTACCCATCCGATCTGAAGCTTCAAAGTATTGAAGGATTTTTGCTTCTTGAGGACGCTATGTATGACTAAAACTGTGTTCAGTAATGCAGTCCTCCCTTTTGGGGTGGAGTCTAGTAATGGTAATTGTCTATAAAGTTGCCTACTGAGTGACTGCTCATTCCCACTTTTCTCATGACCGTAAGAGCTCAGTAGGACCATGATACATTATGCCATTCTCATATGATGCCCATCCTCTAAAGCTTAATAAGAATGTGGAGGCAGAATACTTGGCAATGTGTTTTGTACTTAAAAATGGAAATTCAACAAAATGACAAGAAAGTCATGGATCTGACTAGCGTTCGAGAAAAAGATCTTACTATTAAAGAAAATACTTTGAAGAAAAATATGAGCTAAAGTTATATGCACAGAACATGACTATCTTGTTCAGAGAAAGATAAGAATCAGGAAGCACAATAATGTATTACCACTGTAGGGTGCTACATGCATTCAGAGCAGTTAATAGCTCTGAATAAGCTATTCAAATCTAAATCATGGCATTTCTGAACTAGTTATGCTCACTTTTCTGCCAAATCTACTCTAGTTTAAAAGTCAGCATTCCCTACTRGATATTTTTTAGGAAGCATTTTAGAATTCTTTGAATGGTAAATTAACCTRAATTCTATTGTTAACAAAGTATTTAAAATTAGATAGCTGGAAATGACCTCCAGAATTTCCTAACCATCCAAGCAGCAAGATGATATGACTTCTGGTACTAGCCAGTAATGTGTCTCTATTGCTTGTTATTAATAAATTAAAACTTGTAGTCAATAAATATATGTTTGTAGGAAGGATCTCCAAGGCATAAACCCCTCCTTAAAAATACGCTGATGTCAATTGTGCTGGATTTTGGTGGAGTTACAGGTCCATTTTATCAGCTGAGGATATGGCCATTTATTTATATATTT